AGCTGATGTAAATGGGACAATTCATTTTTCTTCATTCATACAAAAATGGTATTAACCATTTTCTCCAGTTTTCTTCTTCTCTTTGATATTTTTCACTTGTAATATGGTATCAGATTTCATTCTTCCGCTTCTTTCTTGATTGTTTTTCATTCTTGCTTTCTTTTTTCAATAGCGAATCTGATTCCTGAATACCTCACCAATCCAGGACACTCTTTCTTTCTACATCCAAACGAGAATCCTGCTCTCGTTCTTGTTACTCCACCATTGGATGGAAAGAACAATCATATCTGGGCGCGCGCCATGAGCATGGAACTATTATCCTAGAACAAACTTGGATTTATTGATGGCACCATTGTCCCACCAGTTGCCACCGATCCTCTTTTTCTGCCATGGCAATGCTGCAACACCATGGTCCTTGCATGGATACACAAATCAATCAGTAACTCCATCTAGAAATCCATTCTTTGGATGGATCGAGCTTCAGAGGTTTGGCTTGATCTCAAGAATCGTTTTAGTCAATCTGACATTTTTTGCCTTTCTAATATCCAGGAAGACATTTACAAGCTCCAACAAGGTGAGCTGAATATAACTGATTACTTCACCAAATTAAAGGCTCTTTGGGATGAGTTTGATAATTTGCACCCTTTACAGATGTATTGTGTTGATCCATGCAACTGTGGTCTTCTTGAGCTGATAAGAGCACACATGGATCAAGATTAGACTGTAAGATTCCTGAAGGGATTGAATGAGCAATATACTCATGTCATATCTCTGATCATGGTGGTAGATCTGTTAGCACATGTTAGCAGAGCCTTCTCTTTGGTTGAACAACAAGAGATGATTTCTCTAACCCGTTAAATGGCATGAAACCTTTCACCACCGAGAAAGGAAAGCCATGTCCTCCTGCTGCTAGAGACACAAAAATGTGAACACATATTGGTAAGAATAACCACACTATCGAAATATGCTATCAATTGCATGGTTTCCCTCTTGGATACAAGACTGGTGCAAGGCCACGAAGTGCTGTGAATCTTGTTCAACAAGAAGTTAAAACAGAAAACTCAGCTTCAAAGCTCGATGATGACATAAAGCTTGAGGTATCTTTATCACAAGACCAATATTAAAGGCTTTTGACTCTTCTACAAACCACTCAACTTCAACCTGAAAATACACAAAATCCATTTCACTCTACCAACTTAGCCACAACTTCTGCTTTGAATTCAATGGCTTCACCAACTGCCAATGATTCTTCGCGTAAATCTCATGTCTGTTGGATCCTTGATATAGGAGCCACAGATCATATATGCTCAACAATCATAATTTTTAGCTCCTTATATAAAATCTCACATATTTCAATTATGATGCCGAATGGACTTCATGTCACTACTTCTCTCTCAGGAACTGTTATTCTATCGGATTCTTTAAAGCTCATAGAAGTTTTATACGTTCCTAGATTCAAGGTTAATTTTGTATCCATATCAAAACTCACTGTGAATATTGCTTGTTGTTTAACTTTTTCAAAGTCTTCATGCCTGACACAACAGGTCAATACCAAGAAGACGATTGGTACAATTAAATTGGAAGGAGACTTGTACGAGATTGACCCTCCACAATAGTCTCAGCCCTTGAAGAAATTTGCTACTTTCAATAATTGCTCAGACTTTTCAGTCAAGAAACTAACTGAAGCAAAGTTGTGGCACCTTCGTTTAGGATATTTGTCACATGAGTCATTAAGACAGATGTCCCTAGCTTTTCCTTTTATCAATTGTGCTGATGTAAAGCCTTACGATACTTGTCATATTTCTAAACAATGAAAATTATCCTTCGTGTCCAGTGATTCTAAACCTGACAAGATTTTTGATTTGCTTTATGTTGATGTGGGGGGGCCATATGGCTTACCTTTTGTACATGGGCACCATTTCTTTCTCACACTTGTGGATGATTTTTCCAAATTTGTGTGGGTTATATTGCTAAAGACAAAGGCAGATGTACGCACATGATTGCAAAATTTTATTTCATATATAGAAACTCAGTTTGAAACCAAATTGAAAATGCTTCGATGTGATAATGGGAGCGAGTTTATCATGCCAGATTTTTATCAGAAAAAAAGAAAGAATAATCCACCAGAGGAGTTATATAGAAATACCTCAGCAAATCAGCAAGGTTGAGCGTAAGCATCAACATGTTCTCAATGTGGCGCATGCTCTATTTTTTCAATTCCAATTACCTCTATTTCTATTGTGCTTTGCAATAACTCATGCCACACATGTTATTAACATGCTTAACACTCTTCTTTTTGGCAACAAATCACCCTATTCAATTCTCTACAATAAGCCTGCAACACGCATTCACTTACGAGTGTTTGGCTGCCTCAGCTATTCTAGCACTATCACTACTCATCGAGAAAAGTTTTCACCCATAGCCAGAAAGTTTGTGTTCATTGGTTACCAAGATAGCATGAAGGGTCATGTTCTTTATGATCTGTCTTCACATGTAATATTTGTGTCTCGTCGTGTTGTTTTTTATGATGATCTATTCCCATTTATGAAGAGTCATGTTCCAACTATTGATTCCTCTATCAACATAGTGCCTGATTTTCCCATATATGACATTCTATCTTTGAAACCTACTACTGCCCCAACAAATGCATTAGAATAAGCCATTCCAGAAAACTCCTCCACTACCAATGACCCACTTGATGACGCTCTGCTCATATCAGGTCACATCCATAATATTTATGTGATTTTCATTGTTCCTTCTCTTTGACTTATGCGTCAACATTAAATATGAACAACTTACCTCATGTTCATTTTCCTTTATCTGATGTCTTATCCTATGAAACATGTTATCTTACTTTCACTCATTTTTCTTGCAATTCCATCACACAGATTGAACCACACACTTATCTTCAGCCATCCAAGCATGAATGCTGGAAACAAGCCATACAATCAGAGATATCTGCCTTAGAACAAAACCACACATGGATCCTTGTGGATAAACCACCCGACAAGCACATCATAGGGTGCAAGTGGGTGTACAAAATCAAGCTGAAAGCATATGGTAGCATTGAGAGGTATAAAGCACATTTAGTTGCCAAAGATTACACCCAAATGGAGGGGGTGGACTACCTTGATACCTTCTCACCAGGTGCTAAGATGACCACTGTTCGTGTACTCCTCACCGTAGCTACTTCCAGAGGTTGGATCTCCTACGGCTAGATGTGAACATTGTGTTCTTGCATGGAGACCTCAATGAAGAGGTCTATATGGCTCTACCCGAAGGCTTCTCTCCATCCTCACCTCCCAAGGTGTGTAAACTTCAAAAGTCACTTTATGGCCTCAAGCAAGCAAGCCGTCAATGGTACTCCAAGCTATCTTCAGCCTTAGTTTCTTTGGGGAACAAAAAATCAATTGCAGATCACTCCCTATATGTCAAGCACACATCCTCTTCATTCACTGCCCTTTTAATCTACGTGGATGACATTGTGTTATCGGGTAATGATCTGGATCGAATAAACCATGTAAAGGCATCACTGGACTCAATGTTCAAAATGAAAGACTTGAGCAATCTTCAATTCTTTCTCGGGTTGGAAGTAGCCCATTCTAAATCTGGCATAGTGGTAAATCAACGCAAATACACTCTTGAACTATTGACTGATAGTGAAATGCTTGCTTGCAAGCCTACATCTACCCCTATGGATCCTTCTCATAAGCTTCATCGTGCCACTACTAAATCTGATCTCCTACCATATGTTCAGGTCTATTGTCGTTTAATAGAAGGTATGTTGTATCTCACAACAACGAGACCAGACTTGTCCTTCGCAGTTAACCAGCTTAGCTAGTTTGTCTCTGCACCCACATCTTCACACATGGCAGCAACTCATTGTGTAATACGATACTTGAAGTCTTCTCCAGTAAAAATACAAGGCGTTTTGTCATAAGTCTTTGCGCTTTCCTGGGGACATCCTTAGTGTCATGGTACTCAAAGAAACCGAACACAATATCTCGATTCTCAGCCGAAGTCGAATACCATGCCCTTGCCTCCATGTCATGTGAAATCAATTGGATACGTTTTCTGCTACAAGACTTATGTGTTCCTATCTTCAAGCCCGCTTCTATTTTTTGTAATGATCTTTCAACTATCTACCTTGCGAAGAATCTTGCATTTCATGAACGATCTAAACACACACATATATTAACTGTCACATTACTAGAGAACACATTAATGATGGCACACTTCGTCTGCTTCCTATTCCTTCATCTTCACAGCTAGCCGACGTATTCACAAAGCCTCTTTATCCTCATCCTTTTTAGCATCTCATTTGCAAGCTTGGACTATGTGACATCCATAGTCAAACTTGGGGGGGTGTTGGATATAAATGAAGAAGCTAAAGTTCCTCGTAGTGCCACTGTTGCTGAAGACAAAAAGAAGGGATTAAAAAGAAGAGCCATATCACTTATTTAGTTGCACATTCAGCAACTACTTCAGTGAATATTACGGACCCCACGTGAAAAAGAGCTTCTTAATTAGTTATAATTGCTAGATATTAGTTGCTTCAATTAACATGTATTTTAATCTTAAGGGGAAAAAATTCTCATGTTATAGGAGAATTATTTCTCCTATTAGTGATACGTCGAAGTGTGTGCAACAACTTTTTTTATTTTTGTTTTTTAATGGAAGATGAGACCCATCACATCTTGTGTCTATAGTAGGAGAAAAAATTCTCCTACGACATGAAAAAAGAGAGACCCTTGATCTTATTATAGAAGTATGGAGTTTGCATTTGTCATTTAACATGACGCAACAAATTTTCATACACACACAATATTTTGTGGAGCCCACACCTTTTTGAAGAAAAGAAGAAGAAGAAAAAGAAACTACGGCGTACAAAACGAATCTTTATAACATTACACGATCACTTTTCCTACAATATAACCCTTATAAATAGGAGTATATATATTTTCATAGTGTAGCTGATGTAAATGAGACAATTCATTTTTCTTCATTCATACAGAAATGGCATTAACCTTTTCCCCTAGTTTTCTTCTTCTCTCTGATATTTTCCACTTGTAATACTGAACCCTTGTATAATCCGAATCTCCTCTTTATTTTTGTAATAAGATATGGAAGCTGTGTCGCATCAAGCCACTAGTGTCTGCACTTACTGGTAAAATATCTCAAATTCTCTCGAATGATTTTGGATTATTTTTCGACCCGAAATCTGTAAACTTGGTCTGGTTGATATAAGTTCGTGACTTACCTCCCCATGAGCTCTAAGCTTAAAATTTTTTTTATGGGAAATTGGGAATATTTGCTTGGTGAGTAAAAAGCTCTTAAATTTTTTTTTTATGAATTCCATATTAGCGTACTGAAGTGGTATAGCATAAGACGGTTGTTGCATTCGCGTTTGACTTGTAGGACAGTTCAGGGTGATAAAGACTATGCTAATGGTGGTGTGAATTTCTTAGACTATTTTTCAATATCGTGTATGATTATTTTATTTATTTATTTATTAGTTATTTATTTATTTATTTATTTTGGGGGGTTGATATTTTGTTCATCTTGAAAGTGGTTGGTTGCATCTAATTTATATGCAATTATGCTTTGTACTCTGAGAAACTAAATGATGATTCGTCTTTATTTTAATGGTTATAGTTATCGGGTTGTTCCTGCTGCAAATATTGACTTGCATTATGCTCATTGCTCCCGGAACCTTGAAAAATGCAAAGTATGTGGTGATATGGTTCCCAGAAAAAATGCAGAGGATCACTATTTAAGCACCCATGCGCCGTTATGTGAAGTTTTGTGTTGTGTTCCAGGGTTCAATTTTAAAGAAAGTAGTGACAAATATATGAAGTTCATGTTAATTGGAGAAAAAGAAAAACAAGGGAAACAAAAGAAGTTGTGAGTTTAACCCCCTCCCACTCAAATAAAAGAGAGAGAGAGAGAGAGAGAGAGAGAGAGAGACGAAATTTATGAAAGAGCAAATATCTATCTGCATTTTTTTTAAAGTGAATCTAGTTTTCTTTCTTTCTTTTAAAAAAAATAAAAATTAAATGACATTGGGAATAAGGGGAGCCTTGGCATAATGGTTGGTGTTGTCATCATGTGACTCAGAGGTCACAGACTCAAATCATGTAATGAGCCTCTTGCAAATGCAAGGAAGGCTGCCTACTATAAACCCACACAACAGGTCTGATCTTTCCCTGGACCCTGCACAGAGCGAAAGCTTTATAGTACTAGGTTGCTCTTTTAATTAAAAGACCTTAAGAACCTATCTGGAAAGGTTGCAATGATGGTGAACTATGAACAGAACCTCCTAGTATAGCATATCCCAGATTGAGAAGGATGCAAAGCAATATGCTGATATCATGCTTGAGAGTTGAGACTTGACAAGTCATCTAGGTTGAGGCTGCATTAGTTCTATTGGGTATAAGGACGATTATGGTATAGATACTCCAAAGATTCTTGACTGCCTAATATTGATGAGTTCAAGCCAAATCAAACTGTAAAGACAAATACTGAACTTAACTGGCTAACCTCAACATTCAGGGTTCTAAGTATTGGCATGAGTAGAAAATCATAAATGCTTCACTCCCCAAAATATGACAATGCCATTCTTAGCAATGAAATGCTGCAATCTTGTTATAGGTGAAAATAATTAGAAATTTTGAATTTGTTTGGGAGAAGTTAGAGCTCTTGATGCTTTGAAACACCACCACATATGCATTGACACCAAACATATAAATACAGCTTAACCAAAATTTTGCAAGCTCCCAAAAGAAGCACATTAAGAACACACGAGAGCCCAAAAACTGTAATATCTTCTTAGAAAGACACCATGGCTCAAGAACACATATAAAAGTCCTCTACCTGAACAACCAGATCAAATAATGCTCTTTAATAGCTGGAAAAATCAAAATTGATGGAGGCATGGCTGAGAAGCATTCTGATGCGTGGATAGTGGATAATGGATATTTTGGATACTCAAATAATCACCCTATAAATGAATTTATGTATGGTTGAGCTGGATGGATGGATTGCTGGGTATTTAATAATTTATCTGTATGCAGTTGGTGTTATGAAGGTTTGGTGAAGATGACTTCTTAAATTAACTTTATTACGGCTTTCTATTTTCCCTTATTCAGCAATTGTGGCTCCTTTTGCAAAATCTGAGGCATTAATTATCAGAACTTAGTCATGTACAGAATAGAGGTTGATGGAAAATTTGCTGTAACATAAGGAAAAGTTATTGTGCCTGTTGATTGTATCATGCATATTGTATGATGTATGGCTGTGGATGCTTAAGACCATATTTTCTTTGAAGTTGATCTGATATGATAACAGATTGTAATAAAGGAACCTATCACTTCATAAAAAGGAGATAAAGGAAGAAAAATAGAACTTGGAATGTTTTGCCTACTACATATGATAGGGCTAACACCACCCTTGATTCACAATGAAATGATTCATGAAGCTGGCTATATGTCTGTCACCTCCCTCCCTGGTGCAACCTTCCCTGGCCCCAGCCTCCCTGGTTCAATGCAACAGTCTTAAAGTCAGATTAAAAATCCACTTTTATATTAGTCTTCTAAACAAAAAATATGAATTTTTGCAGGTTCTTGTTCATTGTGCAATGAGACAATGGAGTGTGATATTTTAGATATCCATAAAGGTGAAAATTGCCCTCAAAGGATATTCACTTGCGAGTTCTGTGAGTTCCCACTGCCTGCAATTGATCTGGCTCAGCATCAGGTGGTGTTTATAGAGAAATTTTGAATTATGAAGATATTATTAATATATGTACTTTTGAACTGATTTCAGTTTGATATTTATGACTTTCAGGAAGTGTGCGGGAATCGAAAAGAAATTTCTCACCTTTATAACAAATATGTTAGACTCCGCGAAAGATACAGCCATGAAGCTGGGTGCAACGTCATCCAAGATAGTACAGTGGGCTCTTCAAGGTAGGAAATGTCATAATTTATGTGAACTAAACCTCAAATTCATTTTATTTTATTTTTAAATTTTGTTGTTATTTCCTCACTTGTAGGCCGTAGCTAATTGTTCATAGATCAAATCCCGCAATCTGTCTCTTATTATAGTATGCATATCTATTTCTCACTACACATACATCTCTCACTCTGAGGGTTAAGGAATGGTTATGTATCCCAGTTATTTTTCATTTGTTTCTAATTTTGGGTCACTCTGTGCAAGTATTAAGTTCATAATTGCACTGTTTTGTCAATGTACCTGTTCGTTGTGGAGTTATTACTTACATAGCTGTTCCATTTCAAGCTTAACTAAAAGTTTTAGCTAGAGATATAAATCCAATCTTGAGCCTTCCCTTAACAGTTCAGGTTTTTAGAATCTTTGGTTCTTGACATAATATGTGTAAGAAACAACTTCAATTCAAAATCTTCACATGTTGGGTCAAAGTCTTTGTAATGATTTATATTATTCTCTAACACATCATCTCACGTAAGAGTTCTTTGGGCTTAAAACGCGAATATTGCATAGGTCCATTTTTTTTTATTTTTTTTTTACCTTATACTTACTTAATTCCACAAGTGGAGGGAAATAATCGAACTCATGACCTTATAGTCATTGAAGCTCTGATATCAGGTAAAGAATCACTTCAACTCAAAACCTTAAGGTGTTGGGTGAAGGCCTTTTTAATGATTTATATAATTCTCTAATAATATCAAATGTCACTAGAACCAAGTGGTGTTGAGTTTTTTTTTTTTTTCCTTGCTACCTAATTTTTTATAATTAAGTTGAGTTTCAACATAAGGTAGAGTGAGCTTGTATATTATCCATGCTTTGAAGCCTAAAAGATTCTTGCATAAGGGGTGTATTAGATATCTAAAACCAATATGGAACTTCCCACTTAACATCTGAAGCTTTTAGGTGAGTTGGTCCTTACTTCATATAACAACAAATCGAACCTCCTAAGGTTAATTCTCATTGTTTTCTATGTTTACATTGCTTCTAGAAAATTACCAAGATATCTTGCTCCTATTGGGACAAATTAAAGTAGATGGGATTGCGAGAACCTAAGCTTATATTGATTGGATAGATAAAATAGTAATTTAGTACTATCGATGGCCATAGACATGCTACTCTAAGTTATGAACAAGGAATTATCATCTGCAAAATATTTGATTTCTATAACACTTTTACAATGTGTGAGGACATTAACCAATACTTTGAAGTTGATTTCGTTATTTAAGTAAATGAATCAAGAAATGCTAGCTTGTGATGGATGTAATTAAATTTCCCATATTTGAATTAATACGTTTCCTTCTTAGAATATCGTTGATGTAAAGATTTATTATATCCTTTTTCCATGTTTCATAACGTGCTTTCTCTCTTCCTTGTAATTGAGCTATTTACTTTATATTTTGTTTGAAGGGACGTGAGGGAAGCTGAAAGAGAGAATGCAGCAGAATGACTTCTCAATTAGACGTCTTCTTTTCACAATAGCCATCACGTATTGCTGTTGTACTTGGATCTATTTTTCTATAGAGGAAGGCATGGAACAGTGGCCCAAATGCCACATGTTCCAAAAATAATTTTTCAAATCTCATGCGAAGAGTAAATTTCTTAAAAATGTCATACATGCAAATTCGTTGTTACAGCATGTAATGAGTTTAATTTGCAATCATGACACGTTTATGGTGAGAACCTAATTTGTTACTGGTGATCAAAATGCTATGAGTAAAAATAGGCTATTAACACATTCGTTATGGGGCATAGCAAATTAGGTGCAACAATCAGGAAAAAAATAGTCACTGAATCACATGTCAGACATGGACAAATTCGCTACACAATATAACGAGTAAAGTGGAGAATACGCTTTGGATTCTGAGAATATTTTCTTCTTATTTTTTGGATTGAGCTCCTGTTGCTACTCTCTTCTATTACTTTCTTCTTAAAATTCTCACCTTTCCATTTCAATCAATCAATCAATGACTATGGCCTATGGAATATAGTGAAATAGTAATTTGACAAATAAAAAAGTTAATTAAAAATTATAAACACGTACTTTTCTTTAACAAGTGTATCCTTCATTTAGAGAAGTCAATTTAGTCTCTAATTTTTTTTTTAGAAATTTTTTTTGAAGATATTCCAATCAAATCGGTTCATCACTTCGCAATTAGTCCAATTCATAGCGGGTCTCGAAATTAAGACTTTAAACTCCTTTCAAAATAGTACTGAGATTTTTTAAAAATTATTACAATATAAATATTTTTTTACAGGGACATTTTATTTGTTTTTATATGCAGGGAAATATCATTTTATTTATTTTTAATAAATATATTAATACTCCGAATTAGGTTACTAACATAACATTGTATGTAATAATTAGACACATTTACTAAAATAAATACTTGATATATTTTAAAAGTATTTTTAAATATATTTGTTTACATATGATGCGTAACGATAAATATTTGATATATTTTCAATATTTAGTAAAGAATTTTAAATGAAAAATAAATATATCTAATATTTTTTTTTTGGTAAGGCATATATCTAATGTCTTAATTGTACAAAAAGTGTTCAACATCTTATTGATTAATAATTAGAATAATTACTAAAAGAGTTTTACTATCATATATCTTAAAAGATGTTTATTATAAAATTACATAATTGTTTAACTCAATAAAAGTATTCAATCTCTTAAAACTTTAAAAAATATTTAATATATATATATATATATATATATATATATATATATATATATATATAGGGGAAGGATATGTAACAACCAAGTTGTGTTACTATCAAGTTACTACCAATCAATCTCGCCGTTAGATCGATTATGTTGATCCAACGGTTATATTTATTTTCATCTTTGTATGGTCATGATTTTTATAATTTAATACTTTATATTTATTTTCACCTTTGTATGGTTATGATTTTTCATATTTAATGCTTTCACTTTAAATATAGGGAATCATAACCATACAAAGATGGAAATAAATATAACCGTTGGATCAACATAATCGATCTAACGGAGAGATTGATTGATAATAACACAACTTGGTTGATACAATATCCTTCCCCATATATATATAACATTGAAGTATATATATTAACAAAAAAATTTATTTGTCAAATTATTATTTTTGGTATATCCTTATAAGGCACGGTCATTGATTGATTGAAATGGAAATGTGAGAATTTCAAGAAGTATGGGGGTGTTTGTTTCAAGTTTTTGTCAAAGTTTCATGGAGAAGTGATGCATGCATTCTAGTAACTCCATGTTTGGTTCACATATTTCCATTTTTTTACCCATCTTTCCTTGTTGCCCATCTATTTTGCATTGAGTATGATTTGTCTGAAAATCACTGTTTCAGATTGCTTCCTGGAAGGTGGTATTTTGTGTAAAAACTAGAGAAGTTGAAAAAGTGACAAAAGTGATATAAACTGGTGACTATATTACCCCTCACATAGCACACCACTCAGAGTTGCAGCACCACCAACGCAGTAGGATAGCAACTCAGATCGGTGGGCTAACCAGTAGGCAACAATGCCCGTGAACAGAAGCTAGATGGGTAACACCATAGCAGACATAGGAACAAATACCAAATGGGGGTTAAAAACTGGGTAATGGTCAGGCTCTTCAGTCAAGTGGGCATGGGTGTTCAAAAATGAGCTTTTCCGGATTGGTGGGATTGTTCGATCTTAACATGGGATTGGTGTTCAAATACGACCCGTGCGTTTGGACAATTGTGGGTATAAAGGGCAATTTAAAAAAAGGATAGTTTTGTAATTTCAATTACTTTCCCATCAATATAAAATATTCAACCAAACACTTCATTCTGATATTTTACTTAATTTTCCTAGTAAAATTTTACTCAACCAAACAACTTTTTTTACAATTTTCTATCTAACTCACTTTTCTTGCAGATTCTTAGTAATTTCATTTCCCTAGTAAAATATTATTTCTCCTGGACCAAACACCCCTTAATAAAAAAGAGTAGCAGCGGCAGCTCAATTCAAAAAATAAGAAGAAAATATTCGCAGAACCCATAGCGTATTTTCCACTTTTCTCGCTATATGATGTAGTGAATTTATCCACGTCTAACCCATGATCTGTTTTTGCTCAAACTATACTAATATTTGACCATTTAATTTACTATTATCAGTAACGAATTAAGTGGTCACCAGAAACATGCCACGTAGCAAATTATATTTGCTACCTATTATAATGAATTTGCACATGTGGCATTTACTATTCACTTAACATCTGAAAAATTACTTTTGAAAAATGTGACATTTGGATCAGTGTTCAGAAAGACAGAACCAGTGATGTGCATTGGCATTAGAGAGGAAACAGTTTAGGATCCATGGGGAAGTAATTAGTAGTCATTAGTATATAATAGCATCCATAAATACACAGGTATTGTGAACTCTCAGGGGCTTTATTAAGAATTTCATTGTTGAGGAGAAATTACTTTTTATCAGAAAAAATATAATTACTTGAAATATTGTAAAAAAATGAGTTTGGTAGAAAAATTTAAAAAAAATTGTTCAGTAGGTCGAAATATTATCAAAAAATTGATTTTAGTTTGTTAAATTTATGTTTGATTGAAGATAAAATATAGGTGAAACAATATGGTTAAATTACCACAACAACTATTGAGTAAAATAAAGTGGGAAAATATAATTTTAGTTTGCTGAATAGTTTTTTCCAACATTAGGGTCATTTTGGTCTTCTTACTTGCCATCCTTTTTTGATTTCTCCATCTATAAGCAAATACCACCTTGTAGGTGGTTTTATTAATTTTCCTAGCAAATTTTTTTAAAACATGATACCAAACATGTAGAGATGGCAAAACAGGCTCGGCTTGGCGGGCCAAACCGCCCCACCCGCTAAACGGGGCGGGGCCGGCTGAGTTTTTCAACCCATCTGAAAAGCGGGGCGGGGCAGGGCCGGCTCATTTTTTGGCGGGTTGATGGCGGGCATAGGCGAGCCGAGGCGGGTCAGTGTAAAATAGGCTCGAGCTGACGGGCCAACCCGCCAAACGGGGCGGGGCGGGCTGAGTTTTTCAGCCCACTTTCAAAAGCGGGGTGGGGCAGGCTGACTCATTTTTTGGCGGGTTGATGGCGGGGCGGGACGGACTGCCCACTTTGCCATCCCTACAAACATGGACGGCAAAAAAATTAAAATATTACTATTTTAATAAATAATTACGAATACATAGCTGTTTCAAAATTACCTACGGATTTATTGCATTCATTCACGCCCAAATTAGACGTGACTATCCCAAATTAGGCGTGACTCTCAAGGCATTCACGCCTAATTTAGGCGTGAATCATCTGGTGTTGACACGTGGCAAAAAAAGTCAACTTACGAACTGTAAAAATTTGGAAAGCCATACCTTTTGACTCGGGTATCCGAAGGAGGTAATTCTTCTTTTGATTCCACATAACTTTTCGAGATCTACGCAATGACATCTCATTTGATATATTTTATCTCTCACAAACACAATTCAAATTTACAATAATTGTATTATATAGTGTATTACCAAAAAAAAATTAAAAAAATATTATTAATAAGGAAAACAAAATAAAGATTTAATTTGTGATTTAAACTCAAAAATAAATTTGAAAAATATGTATTAATAAAGAAAATAATTAAATAAATATTCTAAACACTTGGTAGAATATTATATAAATTTGTATATATTTTAATAATTAAATAAATAACCTTGTACACTATTTTTTTCAAACACTTGGTAGAGGCAAAAAAATTAAAATTCTGTTTTTCTAATAAATAATTACGAATAAGTTGCCGTTTTGAACCTAATTACGAATATATTTCACTCATTCACGTCCAATAATGGTACTATAACATTAAATTCAAAATTCAAATAACCTCCAATAAGTTGATTGCATTTTGTATTTAATAGAAGTTGATTGCATTTTGTATTTAATAGGAGCTGATTGCGTTGTAATTTTATGAGTTGGTTACAGATTGTCGCCAATTCAAATAAATTTGCTGGAGGTTATTTGAATTTTGAATTTAATGTTATAGGAGTTGATTGCGTTTTGTATTTAATAGGAGCTGATTACGTTTCGTATTTAATAGAAAATTTGGTGTCATCTTATTTAGTGATGAGTTAATCCACTTTGGTGCCATCTTTATAGTATCATTGTTGTAAATTTGAATTGTGTTTGTGAGAGAAAAATATATCAAATGAGATATCATTGCGTAGATCTCGAAAAGTTAGGTGGAATCAAAAAAAAAATCACCTCATTCGGATACCCAAGTCAAACGTTATGGCCTTATAAATTTTTACGGTTTAAACTAATAATTTTTTGTGCCACATGCCAACACCAGACGAGTCACGCCTAATTTAGGCGTTAACGCCTAGGGAGTCACGCCTAAATTAGACGTGAATAATCACGCCTAATTTGGGCGTGAATGAGTGCAATAGATCCGTAGATAGTTTTGAAACAGCTATGTATTCGTAATTATTTATTAAAATAGTAATATTTTAATTTTTTTCCCAAACATGGACATATAAAAATACTATTTTCATTTGTTTAGATATCTTCAACAAAATCTTGTACCAAATACAGCATGGGCGTATTTCTTGCGGACAGTATTCCGTTGTGATTAGGGGTGAAACTGGGCCGGGTCAGCCTACAGGGGCCTACGGCTCAGCCTACGTCAGGCCTAG